TCCATTTGTGCTATTCCTTCCTGTCCTTGCGAAAAAAACCAGAAGGCTAAATTGATAAGATTCTTCTACTGTTGCCATATTTGACTTTTGCTGTGAGACTCTTATTATCTTAGACTCAAGTGTATGATAAATTAGTCATAACTAAAGCCCACATTTTCTTATCATTAACATGAAATATTTAGTGGCTTATAGGATGTAGAGAATTGATATTACTTACATTCTAATTTTTGTTAAAAATGTGCATTTCCCGTGTCAAATATTTTTCCTATCTGAGGGATATGATTTAAAAAGGTCAGAGTGAGTCTTATAGGTTTGGTCAAAAGACAGTTTTTAAGTACATTTGAGCTATAATAACTGGGCATTTATAGCATGACATACCATATAGCTATTCAAAAATATAAGGATGATATAAAAGATTGTTGTGGATGGATATTTATAATATATAGCTGAATGAAAAGGCAAATTATAGAACAATGAGTATAAAATGAACTGATTTTTGTTTAAACTACCACCAAAAATGCCCCAAATTAGAGATATGTGTCTGTTTTCTCTGTGTGTAGATAAGTCTCCAATGATATACATTTTAGATTATGATTTTTATTATCTTAAATAATGTTAAATAATTTCATATGTAGTTTCCTTGAGGGAATGGACTGGAGATAATGAGGACAGATTTTTAACTTTTACTTTGTTTATTTGAACTTTTAAATAGTGAGCATGTGATTCTTTTTAATTTAAGAATTATGAGGGGCCAGGGATTTAGCTCAGAGGTTCTACCGCCTGCCTTGCAAATTGTATATGCAAGGACCTGAGTTCGATCCCTGGTACCAAAAAAAAAAAAAGCTGAGCATAGTGGAACATGCCTGTAATCTTAGCTACCTGTGAGGCTTAGGTGTAAAAAGAATCTCAAGCTCAAGTCCAGATAGGGCAATTTTGCAAAAAATGAAAGGAACTGAGGGTGTAGCTCAGGGTAGAGTGCCTCTGGGTTTAATGGTTTAATCTCTAGTACTATCAAAAACAAAGGTTGTTTTGAAGATACGTGATGTGAAGGTGTATCATTTATTATACTGATAAAGTAGGATTTCTTTAAGTCTAAAACTTTGAAAAAGAAAAAAGAAAAAAATGGGATTTGGAGTACTGCCTTTGTATTAGAACCAAAAATAGTAAGAGAGATGTTGGCTAGGAAATTGGAGTGCACCTGGAGGAGCAGTAGTTGTCGGACTCTGTGTGTATGTGCTTTGGCTTCCTTGGGTTGTTTGGTCCGCAGTTTGCATTCATTGATCAGTGAGTCAATTTAGATTCAAACCCACCGACAGCAATGAATGTTGAGTGCAGCCATCAGTGTTTCCAGTTGGTGGAGTAGCCTTGGTCTTCCTTGTCTTCTGGCTCTTCTTTTCCACATTGGTGTTTTAAAGTCTGTTAGTGTCTTAATAACCAGGCATCTGAGTGGTTGAGGACACATGTAATAATAGATCCCATTGATGCTAGAGCTTGGAGGTTCTTAAAGATGGAAAAACAATGAGAAGACAGGAGCTTCTGGAGAGCCTCACAGGTAGCTCTGTGACCACACAGGCAGTGCTTGAGCGGTGGTGACTTTACCAGAGCTGAGGGACCCTGCTTCTTCTCTGTTTCAAACCAAGAACTTTGAGTGCTTTTGCAAGGTGAATTAGTGGAAATTCTGTTTGGAGTTAAGTAATAGCTTACATATATTGAGCCTTTGCTCTGTGCTAAGAGCGGTTCAACGCACTTTATATGTTATCTCAGTGAATCTCAAAACCCCATGAGGTAGGGAGAGACAGACTCAGACACTTGCTCAGGGTCACACAGCTAGTTAGAGGGTTGAGCCAAGATTCATCCCAGTTTTGTCTAGCTCCAGAACTAAGTTTGTGCTTGAATATAACAAGAATTTAAATAACCAATGTAGACATTGCTTTGTGCTATTTTTGCTGATTAAATCTTCCCTTCCTCTTAATGCAAAACGTTTGAAGGCATGTGGGAGAAATAGAAATAAAATATTTGACTGGGTTTCATTCCAGAATGAAGTACATGTCTTTAATAAATTTTTCTTGATATATTCTATTTCTCACCAAAATTGTGTATTTACAGGAGATATTTAAGTTCATTACATATTAGCACAGGGCTTTCCTTTACCTTGTTAAAATGAAGCACTGACTTGTCAAAATGCATCAGAAAACCAAAAACAATGGGCAGTACAAATAGTTGGGAGCTGCAGAGAGATTCACTGGACCACCTTTGGTGGATAGGCCACAAGACCATGGCAGGTGATCTCATGTCACATGTGAGGTACAGCCTACTCCTCTGCTTCAGGAAATGTAGTGTTGTCTGTAAGGACCCCAAGGTACAGTCAACGGTCAGTGGTTTTTTTAAATCCCAAACTCACCGACAGCGTTGAATGTTCCATGGAGTCCTTTGAAGGCTGGCCTGAGGCCCTTCTTCAGCTTGTACCAGGGACCCAAGGCCAGTGAGCCTTGAGAGCTCTACTGGTGGAGACACATTTTTCCAGGTTTCAAGTTAAGAGTAAACTATGAAATCAATTTGTATATAGTAGCAAGGTAATAAACTGCGAGATTGTAGATTGCAGTAATTTATAAAACAGACTCAAATAGATGTCAGAAAATGACTTTGAATATTATTTTGTAATTCTGAAAATGTCAAATACCCAATTTTACAGTAGTATTTTAATTATGAGAGCAGGGGTAGGAAAGATTAACATGTATTAGGGACTTACTGTGTACTAGGATTTGTATATTTTATCTCATTAAATTCCTCACCCCATGTTTTCCTGATGAAAAAAATTGAATCTTAGAAAGATGAAGCAATTTTCCCAAAGTTATGTAGTCAGGAGCCAAGGTTACAAGCCAGAACTTGAACACTAGACTAAATTATTTCATTTCTCACAGACCATGCTCTCTCTCTTCCCTATCTACCATAAAACTTATTATTATTTTTGGTACTGGAGATTGAACTTGGGACCTTGTGCTTGCAAGGAAGGCCGTGATACCATTGAGATAAATTCCCGCCCCTTATCATAAAACTTATTGATATCTGGAGATAGAATCTTCACTGTAGAGCTAAATCAAACATGTAGATTTCCTCCTCTTGTTTGTAGTAATAGCAGGTAAGTTTGCAGGCAAAACGTTTCATAGGAAGATGGAAGACAATTAACTTCCATAATTGGTGATCTCCCTAGTGAGATTCCTGGATCACTAAATTAGTACAGAAGTAGCAATAATACCTAACAACTTATTTTCCATTTTGAAAAGGTAAAAAGTAAACAAAAAATTCACCATCTAATGGAAAGCCTACATTTCTTATCAGTAAGGACTGAGTAAAATGTCGTGTCTTTGTTTGGTTAAAAGGGTATCAATGCATATAGGGCATAGTGGTTACTTTTGATTATTTGTTGAATGTCTGTTTTGAAAAATCTGGAAAATGAATTAATATTGACCTGTTTAGGAAATGGGGTTTATTGGGCCAGGGACTTAGTTCAGTGGTTCCATTGCCTGCCTTGCAAGTACAAGTTCCTGAGTTCGATCCCTGGTACCAAAAAAAAAAAAGAAAGAAAGAAATGGGGTTTATAATGGGAGGTGTCCCAGACTACTCAGTAGGAAAAGGTCTTACAGAACTGCTGGCTAAATAGAGGTTAATTTTAAAATGGATAGTTATTACCATTTGCTTTAGGTTTAAACATTAAAAGGTTGACGGTTCTAAAATTCATTTTTAATATGATGATGATAATGATTTTGTAATGCTAGTGATTGAGCCCAGGGCTTGGTGCAGCTGCTTTATCACTGAGCCATACTTCTGTCAAATTCATTTTTTTTTAAACAAGCCAAATGGTATACATTAAGAAATTCCCAGGTATAATGGCACACTTGTAATCCCAGGACTCAGGAGGCTGAGGCAGGAAGACTGCTGCAAGTTCAAGGCTTCCTGAACTACATAGCAAGACCCTGTTTCAAAAAACCAAAAAAAACCAAAAAAAAAAAAGAGAGAGCGAGAGAAAGAAATGAAATAATAATAACCACTGAGAATTTGATTTAAATGTAAATGGTTTTCATTCTGTATCAGTTTTATTCTCCCTCAGATTTCTCCAATTAGTCTAATTTGTTGAGCTTTCAGCGATAGGATTTTATTGCAGACCAAAAAAAAAAAAAAAAAAAAATTAAGCAACTGTTACTACTTACTATTTTAAAACTCTTTAATGGATTTATTATTTATTTATTTGGTACTAGGGATCGAACTCAGGACCTTGCACTTGCAAGGCAGGTGTGGCACCACTGAGCTAAATCCTTGGCCCTTTAATGGATTTATATTAAATGATCCTTTGAAGAAGTGTCAAGGCCTACACCAATTGGGTATAAATATTCAGACTTTTAAAAAACACTGATTTGTGCTGCATCAAGCCATTCAATGCTTGCAAAATACCATTCCTTAAACTTGGCATTCTAGAATGCTTTTTGTAGCCTTGAGAAATAACAGAAGAGTGAAAGGTAGGTTTCTGGAATGACATAAGAGCATTTCCTATTGTGTTTGAGATAGTTAACTTTCATATAGAGCCTGGCATGGTGGGCACAAATTCTGTAATTCCAGTACTCTGCAAGTTGAATCAGGAGGATCACTGAGAGTTTGAGGCCAGCCTGGACTATATAGTAAATTCAAGGCCAATCTGAATTACATAACAAGACCCTGTCTGAAAACAAACAAACAAAAACAAAACCTTTCATAGCGTAAAGGCCTTTATCATTTTTATTCTTTCTTTAGGCCCTTAACTTCAGTTTTTATTGTTGAGCAGGTTTAAGGCAGATTAGGTCTTTTAAGTGAATTTGGCTAAGAGGATTATGTACTCAATGCAGGATAAAATCTAAAGGATTAAAAAAGTTAAGGGTTAATCCAGCTAAGATTTAAGGTGAACATTTAATAAGCTGATCTCAGGTTTGTCCAAACTCTCCATGCCATTCCTGTATCATTTCACTTACCTCCTTTCTTTTCCAGAGATACCATGAAATATGGAAACCCACATCTCTCCAACTTGGAGCTGTAAATGTTTTCATAGTCCTTCAGGGCCTCTTGCTATACTTGGAAGAAATAAGAAGTACAAACTCAATGAAACAGTATATTTGAGTGATTAATAATAGAACAGTAACTGTCTGAGGTGGCTGTCTTCTGAGGTACTTCTCAAACACTGTGCAGTTAGCCCCTCTAGAGGGATTTGGGGTCAGGCTGCTAGCCTTGAGGTTCTGTTTTGTGGTAGTGGAAATTGAACCCAGGGCCTTAGCTCTGAGCTACAGCTCCACTTTTTTTTTTAACCTTTAAGACAGGTTCTTGCCAAGTCATTAAGTTACCCAGGTTGGACTCAAACTTTTGATCCTCCTGCCTCAGTTCCCTAGAGTGCTGGGATTATAGGTATGCACTAGCATGCCCCCGAGGATAAATTTTTAAATTATGAAAATGACAGCAGTATGTCAGCATGAATCTGTATCCTTTTCAGCTCTGAGTTGTCTGCTCCATTTTTCTTATTCAGCATGAGACTCTTAGGGGTCTTTTCTATACTAGCCCTTGCTGTTGTAGAGCCCAGTTGCTACCCAGGGAACTGAGCACACTACAGCTGATGACAAAGAGGGTGATTCACATGCTGGTGAGATATTCTACAAACCACCTCAAGGGAGAATGAGAAAGGAAGGGTTAATTCTGCCTCGACCTGCTGGGAAAGTTAGATCAAAATAGGTCACATTTGATCTGGGCTTTAAAGGTTTACTTGAATTTTTACTAGACAGAAGGAAAGATATTCCAGTAGAGGTGAAAACCATGCAAAGAAAATCCCAGAGGTAGGAAGCTCAGGTAATGGTGAGTAGTGAGATTACTCTCAGTGTCAGTTAATGTCTCTTAAGACATGAGTCCAGTAGCACTTGGTCTTATAACACACACAGCTTTGGAAATTAAATGATTATATATAGGGATGAGTGTGCAAGTGTAATTGCTAAGTTCTCTCTTCTCCCATTGCTTTTGTTGCATAGGTGCTGAAATAGAATAAATGAAGTACCTTATTGTAACAGAGTCTTCCAAACTGCATAATGTGGCTTTCTTTTTTTTTCCTTTAAAATTACTATAATTTAGGCTGAGCATGGTGGCGCACACTTTAAAACCCCAAATATATATATAAATAAATAAAACAAAATTACTATAATTTAAAATTTTTATAGATTGTGTTTATAAAAGCATTATTATCACATACCCAAGAACATAGCTTTTGAGGCCAAAATTGTGATTGTGCAATTTACTGGCTTTGTGGCCTTGGGCAAATTACTTTACCTTTTTGTTGTCTCTGCTTCCTTATATATAAAATGCCAAATATATATATAAATAAATAAAACAAAATTACTATAATTTAAAATTTTTATAGATTGTGTTTATAAAAGCATTATTATCACATACCCAAGAACATAGCTTTTGAGGCCAAAATTGTGATTGTGCAATTTACTGGCTTTGTGGCCTTGGGCAAATTACTTTACCTTTTTGTTGTCTCTGCTTCCTTATATATAAAATGGAGTCGGGGATTTAGCTCAGTGGTGCCGCTGCCTGCTTCGCAAGTGCAAGGTCCCAAGTTCGATCCCCGGTACCAAAAAAAAAAAAAAAGGAGACGATGATAGCCTGAACCTCATAGAACAGTGGTGAGGGTTAAATGAGTCACCATGTCAAATTTTTAAAATAGCTCATGGTACAGGTTAGAAGCTGTGTGTATTTTTGTTATTTCAAAATTGCTTAAATTATTAAAATCATTTATACCATTATTTATATGTTTGCCCATCATTTGGTTTCTAGTCCACAGATATAAATTAAAGTACCAGTTCTTTCATGGTCAAAAGAATTTCTGACTAGCTAAAAACATTTTAAAATTACTGTAATTAACCACTTTCTTTGTAAAGTTTTCATTTGCATAATATTCAGTTTTCTCAGTCTGTAAAATGAGAATATTAGTAACTTCATTGATTGTGAGGATTGTTAGATAATATAATTTAAAAATCTTAAAAAATCTATGGATTCTCTTTCTAAATACATGCACCTAACCACAAATTTTGAAGCAGATTCAGTTATAGAATCTAAGAGCTCATCCATTGCCTCCAGGAGGTTTGATCTATGAGATTCTCTTGGTACTTTTGAAAGTCCTGATCTTTCCCTTGCTAGCAGGGGTAACCTGCCAGCCATGATGCTGCTGTTGCTATCATCTGGTCACACCTATCGCTCCCTTCCTTGTAGCACAACCTGTGTGGTGAAACCAAATGGCAGTGGTTCCTGGAAATGTAGCTAATTAGACATCACCAAGTTCTGTAATAATTGCACATAACAACCATTAATTACTAACTTGGTGTTTGTACAATTATAGCTTCTAAATGAAATTTCCAAATGAGAAGTCACAAATATTTGAATGAATGTGATTGTCTTGCATTGCAATTTCTTATTTTCCTTCTCTTCCCCAGCAACTACTTGGTTTGTGACTGCTGATTCTGGTTTTAAGTTAGCCTGAAACAGTGTGGGATTTCAAGGCAATGCTAAATGTAGTGTTTACTGAATATCAGAAAGGAGAAAAGGTTAAACCCCAAAGATTGTGATTCTACCTGGGGATTATTGATTACTCTTGTATTTAGTCTTCTTGAAGTTTTACCAAACCAAGGGAAGGAATGGAAAATTATATGCAGTAACTTAGAAAACTTTACATTTGATGTAGGTTACTTCAGATATTGGGGATGATTCTGCAAGGTAAGAGGAAGTGGGTAAGCCAAGTCAATGAGATGTCAAAATGTCCTAGTGCTGAACACAGTATTTTTTCAAATGAGACATACTTCAAAACCTCCCAGAACACTCTGGGGGCTACCTGAGTTCTCCGCCCCACAGTTAATGTGACTTCATGTGTCCGAGATATTACTACTTTAGGTTTTGCAGATTTGTAAGAAGCAGTACTTCATTTTTCCATGGTAAATTTGTTCATAGGATATCTGTAGTCAGTGAGCAGCACTTCTAGTTAACTCAGTCTTTCCTTTTTTTACAATAATGAAACTTTGATATATTAGCAGTAAGACTAGGTATTTCTTTCTCTGACCCATTATAGTTTATTGGGTTAAATTAATCATATGGCACCTTATACTTCAAAAACACTCTTTAAAAGTTTATTATTGCTCTAGGTAGATCATTGCTGGTTTTAAGCATCTTAAGTTATGGATAAGTAGAGTTGCTTGTTTATCATAACAATTTTTGCTTATCCTTAACGTTCAGGAACATAGCTTTTTGTATGTTACTTTTCCTATTTCCAACAAATAGTTGAATATTTACAACATATAATATCTTAAAACCTTTATTTCTGATTATGTATTCTCTAGAAAAATCTATACTTAGATCTACCTCATACTTTCATAAATGAGATATACTATAATACTAGGTTGAACCAGCTATTAATAATTGAAATGTACTGGTTTTAGACTTACCATTCCATTGCTAACCTGAAGTTGGACAATCCCTGGTTTTTGATTGGGAATGCTAGTCATAGATGGGGAAACATTCTGGGTTGAAAGAATAGAAAATGAAGCTTCAATCCGCAGTTTTACAATTTAAAAAAGTAACATGAGTCTTAAAGATCATTCATTCTAGTGGATTCCAAACCTGACTGCATCGGAATTAAAAGTGTGAGTGGTAGAAAAATGTAGCTTGTTAGCAGTGCAGATTCTTAGGCATCATCCCAGACTTAGTAAATCAAATTTTCTAGGAGTAGGTTTTATATTTTCCAGAGGTCCCCAGGTGATTCTGAAGCAGTCATTTCATAGGCTTTTGGGACTTCATGATGTCTAAAAATATAAACGGAATGAGGAAGCAAACATAGGAGAGAAATGAAGATCCTAAATCACACAACAGGGTCAGAGTTGAAATCCTCGAATCTAGATGTATGTGGTTTTATTTTTTAGACACTGTCCATAATGAATAAAGCATGTCTTCTTCGGAAGTTTCCTTATATCTTAATGACCACCTGCAAAGTATCTTACCTTCAAGTCCAACATAGCCTTAGGGATGCACACAGAACTTTTGCAAATGGACTGCTGATTGTGGATTTGATATGCTTTCCTGAAGCATTTGACTGAGTAAATAATGCTGAGTAGGTTGATTTAAAAGCCATCCTTGAGGGCTGGGGATTTAGCTCAGTGGTTCCACCTACTGTCTTGCAAGCTCAAGGACCTGAGTTCAATCCTCAGTACTGGAAAAGGAAAAAAAAAAAAAAAAATCCATGGTACGAAATGAGAAATAGCTGTTAGGTGATCAAAACTCTATGACGATGCTCTAGGCTTTGACATTTGTCAGCCATTGCTGCATTTTACTGCTTTTCTCTAATCAAAGGTGACTATTTATTGCTGGTTGGAAGAGGTTTGTACAACCTCTGGCTGCTCTCTGGGGAGGAATTTATTTTAATTGCCAGGTAGAGGGTAGGCATGATTTTAATAAAGATCAAGTAATTCCAAACCTTCTTCTGCTTGAACTCCTGGCCAAGTGTCCATCCTCAGGAGGGAGTTAGTTGGTGTCAGCTTCTGACTTGTGACTTGAAGTTATTTCAGAAAAGCCAAAGGCATTACAGAAGCCTTTCCTGAGTTGGCAGGCAGGAGTGGCACCAGGAATCAAGGGCTGACACAAGCCATCGGCCTATAAAAAGTGGATTTTGAACACTAATGATGATTTTTGTCAAGGCTCAGTGTGATAAAGCCTGGAGGACTCAGGTTGGGGCCTCGTTTGCATAGGAAGGGATTTGGAGCTTAGAGGAAACATGCCAAGAGTTTTTGCTGTCCTGGTTTTGTCAGTGATGAATCCTTCACCCCGGCTCCTGTCACTCCTTAAAGGATGATAATGCAAGTACTGGATGGGTGAGATAGAGAAGCAGCTTGGCATACTTAGTTTATCTCCGTTTGCTTGTTTCCTTGTGGTTCTCTCTGGAACAGAATTTGTAAGGCCGCACTCTAGGCTAGTGTTTTGTTCTGTGTGTATCTGAAGGCATACTGGGCCATGGTCATAAGTATTTTATTTCCATAAGTGCCACTATGCTGGTGACCATACGTATGGAAGGCTTTTTTGTTGATAATAAAGTGTTATTTTCAAATCTCAGCGCTGTCATTTTGTAGCTGTGTGACTTTTCACAAGTATTTTGTTTGTTTGTTTGTTAATTTTATTTTGAGACAGTTTTGCTAAGTTGCTCATACTGACCCTCAACTTGTGATCCTCCTACCATAGCCTCCCAAATAGCTGGGATTACAGGAATGTATGTGCCATCTTGCCTGACTTGGCAAGTATTAAGTTTAACCTCAGTTTCTTATCTGCAAAGTGAAAGTAGTAATTAATTTTACTTATATCACAGAGTTGTTATGAAAATTAAATGAAATCAGGAATATAAATATACCTGGCATATAACTGTCACGTTGCAGTTACTATTGTTATTGTAATTATTTGTTCGAACTTGTTTACTGAGAAGGGTGAAACATTGTCTTAGCAGAGGAATTGTGTAAAAAGAATTTAAATTGAAGTCAGTGCACCTAGGCTACATGTTACTTAAATTATTACACCTTTTCATCGTGAAACAAATTATACCAGCCAAAGCCAAACAAAATCAGTACTTATAAGGTCTCTTGCCACACAGAATCATCTGTAGAGCAGTGGTTTTTTAAACAGTTGGACTGAAGACCTTTTACATTCATAAAAATGATGAAGGTTCTTAAGTGCTTTTATCAAAAGCCATATATTTTTAGTGTGTAGAAATTGCAATTTTAAATATTTTAGTTTTTTTTTAAAAAGGGGCCAGGGATTTAACTCAGTGGTTCCACCTCCTGCCTTGCAAGCGCAAGGACCGGAGTTGATCCCTAGTACCAAAAAAAAAAAAATAAATAAAATAAGGTACAGGTATTTAGCTGAGCAATTCCGCTGCCTTTGTCTGAAGCACGAGGTCCAGAATTTAATCCCTGGTACTGGAAAAACAAAACAAAACAAAACAAAACTCTATAAAATAACTCTAGGGCAGGGGATTTAACTCAGTGGTTCCACCGTCTGCCTTGCAAGCGCAAGGACCCGAGTTTGATACCTGGTACAAAAAAAATAAAATAACTGTGTGTGTGTGTGTGTGTGTGTGTGTGTGTGTGTGTGTGTGTGTGTGGGGTGGTTGAACCCACAGCACGTGCTAGGGAAGTGCTCTGCCACTGAGCTATACCATCAGCCCTAAGTAATTTAAAAAAAAAAACAAAACTGTAAGGATATATGTTATGGCTTGTGTTTATTTGTCCCCTTAAAGCCTCATGTGAGGCCATAGGTGAAGCTTCTTCCGGAATTGATTCATGGTACAGTGCTCAGCTCAGGGGCACTAGGATTGAGGGTGTGAGTGCTACCCACCCTAAGTAATCTGCATAATATAAAAGACTGAAGGACTCTTGAGGGTCCCCCTCCCCCTTGTTTTTGCTGTCTTCTGCAGCCATGAACTGTTGCCCCTCTGTCACCCAGCCTAGGAGTGAAACCTCTATGAACTGTAAGCTGAGTAAACCTTTCCCTTTTAACTTTGGGTGTCTGGTATTTTGTCTCCAAAGAGAGAAAAGTAACTAAGACAATAAATTTTTAAAAAATTTGTTCGAAGAATACCATTTTATATTTTTGCAGATCTCTTTTAAGTATAACTATAAAAGATAGCTAAAGTTTCAAATCTATGTCTATTATAGTGTATTGTTTTGGTTGAAGTACATCAAGAAATTCTGCTCTCATGTCAATATGTAGAGAAAAAGAATTTTAATAGCCTTGGTAGATAATTGAGCTTATTCTTCACAGTTGTACCCTATCTCAGTCCTTGATGGTTTTGTTTTTTTTTTTGGTATGGGGATCAAACTCAGGACCTTGTGCTTGCCAGGCAGGCATGGCGCCACTGAGCTACATCCCTGGCCCAAATCTTCTGATAGTTTTTAAAGGTGTAGTTGTGTAAAATCTAGAAGCATAATAATGATTTTTTCATATCCTATTAGAATAATAGATGGATGCTTTACTCAGGTGTGATTTTATAACACATTGCGTCCATCATTTCTAAATCACACATTCACTGAGTTATATAAAAATATCAATTTTGTTAATATTACTGTTTATTTTATCAGGAACATTTTTAACAATTAGGAAGTAGCAGAGTTCATATGAGCAGATAGGATTTTTTTTTTTTTTTTTGAGACAGGGTCTCACTATGTAGTTGAGACTGACCTGGAGCTCACTATGTAGCCCAGGCTGGTTTCAAACTCACAGCAATCCTCCTGCCTCAGCCTCCGGAGTTCTGGGATTACAGGCATGCACCACCACACCTGGCCAGATTTTCAAAATTATAATTTTTGCTTAAAAAGCATATATTTTATTGTTGGCAACAATAATTCCAGTTGTTGAAGTACCACGCTCACATATTCAAGAAAATATCTGTCAAATAATGTAATTCTAAATATCCATAGTTTTTCAGTAAATTGTTCTTTTAAATAAAGTGGTAGCCCATGGGAAAAATAAATGACCATTTCAGTTTGCAAATTCTTTTGAAGGACTGGGGATTTAGCTCAGTGGTACTGCCATCTGCCTTGCAAGTACAAGGTCCTGAGTTCGATCCCCAGTAACAACAACAACAAAAAATATATCATTCTTGTGCAAATCATTTTGAGGCAACCAGTGTGCAGAATTGCTTTATGTACACTTCCCATTCTGTCACACAAAACATTTAAATATACTTAAAGGTCAAGATTAAGTAAAGTCAATAAATGTTGCTGCTTTATCAAGGATATTCTTAAAACAATTTTTGATCTTTCAGAGTGTGTGGAAATGACAAATACATAGACTATTGGTATATTTTGGTTCTACTGCTTGATTGGTATAAGGTCAGTAGTGTAATCCAGCATTGGCTTTGCATCATTGGTGCAAATGTCAACTTAATGAAAAGGACAAAAATACATTAGAATTAGTACAGAAATAGTTTTGGTTTTGCAAATTTCATGGAAGGGTCATGAGATATTCATGGGCCATACTTTGAAAACCACTGGTGTGGAATCCAAATGTTAGGAAATTCTAAGCAAATGGCGGAAACTTCCCTAGCTCCTTCTGAGTTAATACTCACAGTTGGGAGTAGGTTATGGGGAGAGGATAGCAATCCCTACTACATTGTTTTGACATCTTCCTGGGGTTTAGCATAGATTCTGCAGGATTAGTTTAGTTCAAGGGAATTCAATAAAGATCTAAATGTTATACTTATAAGAAATAGCTTCTTTTCTTGAGCATCCTTTCAGTGTTAGGCATCATGACTTATATGTACATAGATAAACATGCATATATAAATAAGCATATTTAAGGTATGAATAATTCTGTATAATATATAACTAAGAATTTTCTTTTAATATGTGAATAATCACCCTATAGTCTTGTCTATTCTGGAAGTTGCAGTGTGCATCCAATTTGGGGGCAGTAGGTGTCAAATACCTTATTTCCAACTTCTGAGTTTGAAAAATAACTCCTCTAAGTTTGCTAATGTTGCTTAAATAGTGCCCTCTGACTCTTTAAAGATGGTTCTATGACAAGGGTGTCTGTGGCTGGGTATTGACTTGATACTATACTCACTTTTTTATATTAAGGGAGATTGAAGAAAGTAAAAATCCAGCTTGCTAGTCTTTTTAATATTAGTCATTTTATAGCTTAATAAATCAATTTGAAGAGCAAAACTTTCATAAGCTACCAGTCACAGTAAAACTAGTAACTGTAGGTGAATATTCCCATCTCCAAAGTAAACCTTGATCAGAAGCAGCCAGTTATGGTAATAATTGCTGATAATTGTGATTTTTAGATAGTGTTTATAAAATGACTATTTAAAGATTAACTTATAAGGGACTAACCTTAAAAAAGTAGGTAAGAGTCTTCAGTGGAAATTTGAGGTCTTGTAGAAGAGTCAGAGTAAGTAGTTCAGGGCATGATTGAAAAATACAGTGAGTATTTAAACTTGTAAAATTTATTACAGTAAAACATATATTGCCATGAAGCCCCCTCAGAACATTCCCCCCAAACATGTCCCGTTATTCTTGCCACTTTCTGAAGCACTTCTGGAAGTTCTTTATCGTGCCTTTAGTTGTGCTATTGTGGCTGCTTTGATGTCCCGAATCAATTCAAAATGTTTACCTTCTGTTATCCTTTTGATTTGGGGGAAGAGCCAAAAGTGG